AAATGACAAAAAATAATATAAAAAACCTAGCTAAATCATTAAAACATTACCAATTATTAAACGAATACTATCGGGACCTAAACACAAACAGAATTAATTAGTGCAATCATTATGTATTTCACTAAAAAAGCATTTTCATAAAAGAATAGAGTCAGATAATCATGCAACAAACATATAATCTCGACTGTAAAGCTCATGGCCAGAGGCTAAAAATCCTTTTTCTTTAATTTGTTCCTCTTTTTAACATTCAAAAATATTTAACAAGACTTAAAAAATTTGGCTTAATGCGTTAATTAATCAATAATGTAATGGGTAATTAAGTATATAATCATAAGTTTAAACTCAAAGTAAGTTAGAGTTTTTATGAGTTATATTGTATCAATATATTATAAATTTCTTACTAGCACGATTAGTTTTTGAAAGAAAAAAAAGATTAATTGAAGCAAAAACATTGTTTAATTTTTCTTTCTATCATTCTCGGCATTTTCGTGTTTTGTGGAAGTACAACCTTAATTTTGTCCTCCGAATGCGCCGCCATACCACGACATCAAAAACACCTCTTCGAGTGACGCGTGGGCCCCACCCAACTGATTGACGCCATTCCGCTCCTCCTGACACCTCATCACTCCACCTTCCACTTTATCTGAATCCCCAAACTACCCTTCCCCAATTCTCACATCACTTACGTGACACAACCCTATTGGCCATCACACTCCCTTGTAACAAAATCTCCATGCACCATGCAAAATTCTAAACTCTATATATATTAACACATTCACCCATCCAAATCTTAGCCTACCATTTCCAGACAAAACCATATTCTTTATTTTTTTTCTCATTATTTTGAACTTTTAAAACTTTTTTGGCCTCAAATCCATTTAAAGCAAACTCATACGTAATAATTGATTCCATAACACCTTTACCTTTGATTTCTCTTTGTTTAGGGTGATTATTCTTTGTCTTTAAAATCGAAACCATGAGTCCTTCACAATTCCATGCAAAGAAAGAAATCACATCCACCAATAACAACATCAACGGATTGCTACCACCACCGTTGAAAATCAGCAAGGAATCCCATCTCATCAAAAAATCATCCTCATCTCCACCATCGTCATCCTCTTCATCGTCATCATCAACATCATCATCGTCCCTTGTTAATAATGCCATGACACAAGCAATGCCTGTGTCATCTTATAAACAACCTCCACCTCAACAACGTCACCCAGTAATCATCTACACACATTCTCCTAAGGTCATACACACCCACCCCAAGGATTTCATGCAACTGGTGCAAAAGCTCACTGGCCTCTCTCGCTCAGAGGAGGACGGTGGCCATCCACCGCCGCAACAACCCCCGAAACAAGAATCTGGAGTTGGCATTGCGATGGTGGTAGGAGACAAAGAATGCGAGAGGAAAAATGTGGCTATTATAAGAAATGAAGATGAAATATCATCAGTGATAACCGAAGAAAATAATTGTAGCAGTAGCATGAGTGAAAACCAAGTTAACTCTTGTTTCATGGCGGTAGAGAATCCAATACTAGAGCATCCCTTGAACCCTTATATGAAAAACTTGTCGATGTTGACATCGGAATTCGTGTGTTCGAATAAGTCATTGTTGAATTATTCGGATTCTTTGTTCTTCTCTCATAACATGAGGACTTCTATTCCATCATCTTTAGAAGGGGTGAAAGAGATTCGTGAGCAATGATTATAGTTGGAAGTTTTTTCTTGTTTGAAATTTTATTAGTGCTAATAAAAGTTCTAGTTTTCTAGGATATAACTTCAATGTTTTGTTTTTGTAGAAAAAGGTTGTATCTACAGGAAATTATTCCATTTATTATTTTAAACTTTAATACTTGGCTTCATAGATTTTCAATTCAGAATAATAAAGAAAGATATACCTTTCTTTGTTACAGTTTTATTGGTCATTTTTGCTTTTTGTTCGAACATACATGTATTTCAATCTGTGTCTATAGGAAAAGCACAACGTGATATCGATGTGTATGATGGTTAATTATAAGAGCGAATCGGTTGTATTTTTTTTTGTTTGAATTCAAAGTATTAAATCATGACAATTGGGAGTTGGGATATTATCCAGAAAGTACCAAGTTTGAACATTGTTCATTGTATTTCCTACCAATAAAAAAAAAACATCACAATTGACAAATGACAACTCATAGTTATAATGAATCAAAACACGTGTGACAATGACAACAATAAAAATAGCTTGCCATAAAGTCTATTTTCAGAACATCTTTGTTAGTTTTGTTTATTTTGTGAAATGTAAACAAACATCACTTTTTGGGAGAGTAGCTCAAATTAGAGGTGATAAAATTGTTACTCGAGCCAAAACCTACTTGTATAACATTTACCGTATAACTTAGACTTCAAATTTTTAACTCAAACTAAATGTCAACCTTTTTAACATGATCTAATCATGATAAAATGTAAGCTTAATTTGCAAAAACCCGACAAAAGTACAAGAAAAAGGAGACTTTTAAAATTTCTTTATTTAATTTATAAAAAGTGCTTTAAAATTTCAAATTGAAAATGCAATTCTCGTTTCAGACTCCTATTTTTGGTTTTGTTTTCCTTTCTTTGTCGTTCTCCTTCATGTACATTTAGGTAAAATGTTTTCGTCTTTTGCTTCTTCTTTTTTGTGTTTTTTGTTGTTATTATTTAAATATTGATAGTGTGGTAGTTTGGAAGTAAACATGGTAGTGTCGAAACATAAAATGAGATGGTTGAAAAAGAAGATGCAAGAATGAAAGGGAGGATGAAAAAGAAAGATCATGATGACCAAACACGAAGAGATGTGATGAGAGAGAAAGAGTGGTATGACAAAACGTGAAGAGATGCAACTATAAAAAAGAAATGTGATGACAAAATGTGAAGAGATGCAATACAAAAAGGAAAGAGCAACGTGATGACAAAATACAAAAAGATACAACAAGAGGAAAAAAAACGCAACATAGATATGTATTAACTTAAAAAACAACTTTTTTATTTTTATTTTTATAACTAATATAAAAAATCAAGACATTTTATATTGATCATTTTTATAATTGACAAGTCAAAAACTTTTTATATCATTGAGATCTGTGACAGATCTAAAATTGACATTAAAATATTATTTTTATCCATCATAAAATGTGTTATGCACACTAGTGATATTAGTTTTTTGGTTTAAGATCATAACATTAATTAAAGATCTATATTTTTTAGGGTTGTTCAAACAGTTGAACTAAATTAAACTACATATGAACTAAAATAAATTAAAATTGTAGTTCGATTAAATTGAATTGAACTAAAAAATAGTTCCAAAAACTTGAATTAAACTGTTTTATATTTTAGGGAACTATAGTTCTTAAGTTTAAACTACACTATAATTTATAATAAACTAACTTATTATTATTATTATTATTATTATTATTATTATAAACCCTAAACCCTAAACCCTAAACCCTAAACCCTAAACCCTAAACCCTAAACTCTAAAAAAATGTCTTTTTAATTTTAGATTTATAATTTTTTTATTGTCAAACTTATACTAAAAAAATGAATAAACTAGTTCATAAACTAGTTTGATGTTATAGAACAAAGGTTATGAAAGTATGACTTTTAAAAGATATTATAAAAATATATAGTGCTAATTACTTTTATAATGTTGCAAACTCAATCATTAAACTCAACTAATTAATATTATAATTTTTTTATTAAAATAATAATATTTTAAGCATCAAAAATACAATTATTTAGAAAATAAAGAGATAAGTTTGCACTCACATATATAATATATTTGTAATTAATCAAAAACCAATAATTTTTTAAATTTTTATAATAATTATAATAAAATATAGAAAGAGTAATAATTATCAAAGGCATATAATTTTTTTATTCAATTAATAAATAATTTTTTTTTCTTTTAATCCTATAAATTAAATCACCGTAGAAAAATTCTATAACAAAAACAAAAATCAGTAGTTGTGCATAGTAGTACTAATCCACTAGTATACTGACTCAACAGTGGGCAACATACAAAATTAGAAAGCTACGAAAAAGGCATTAGTAACGAGGATTCAGTTTTATTAATAGTTTGGTCTAACAAACTACTATTCAGAAAATAGTTTTAGATTTATAAAACTGAACATGAAAATCATTTTAGTTCAATTTTTATAAAAAAAAAAGTTTTTCTAGTTTAATCCAATTTAGTTATTTATTAGTTTAGTCTAATTAATTATTTAAAACCCTTCCTGATTATAACTGTTTTTTTTTTTTATAATTAAAGTGTATCAAACTACTTTTTATAGTTTTTAAAAACCAAACTTAAAATATAGTTTAGTCTAGTTTTTATAAAAATTAGTTTAGTTTTTTTATAGTCTAGTTTAGTTTTCATAGTAGTTTAGTTTAATATAATTTTTTTGAACACTTCTAATATTTTTTTACTATTATTTTACATTTTACAAGACTTTAAAAATTTGACATAACGCTAGTCGATAATGTGATGGGTAAATGAGTATATAATCATAAGTTTAAACTTGAACTAAGTTAGAGTTTCTATGAGTTATATTATATCAATATATTATAAATTTCCTACTAGCACGATTAGTTTTCAAAAAAAAAAAAGATTAATTAAAGCAAAACATTGTTTAATTTTTTTCTATCATTCTCGGCATTTTCATGTTTTGTGGAAATACAACCTTAATTTTGTCCTCCGAATGCCATACCACGACATCAAAAACACCGCTTTGAGTGACGCGTGGGTCCCACCCCCAACTAATTCGTGCGATTCCGCTCCTCCCGACACCTCATCACTCCTCCTTCCACTTTATTCGAACCCCCAAACTACCGTTCCCAAATTCTCACATCACTTACTTGGCACAACCGCATTGGCCATCACACTCCCTTGTAACAAAATTTCCCTGCACCATGCAAAACCCTAAACTCTATATATACTAACACATTCACCCCTCCAAATCTTAGCCTACCATTTCTAGACAAAACCATATTCTTCATTTTTTTTCATTATTTTGAAATTTTTAAACATTTTTTCTTTTAATTTTTTTGGCCTCAAATCCATTTAAAGCAAACTCATACGTAATAACTGATTCCATAACTTTTACCTTTCATTTCTCTTTGTTTAGGGTGATTGTTGTTTGTCTTCAAAACGGAAGCCATGAGTCCTTCACAATTCCATGCAAAGAAAGAAATCACATCCACCAATAACAACATCAACGGATTGCTACCACCACCGTTGAAAATCAGCAAGGAATCCCATCTCATCAAAAAATCGTCATCATCTCCACCATCGTCATCCTCTTCATCATCATCATCAACATCATCATCATCCCTTGTTAATAATGTCATGACACAAGCAATGCCCGTGTCATCTTATAAACAACCTCCACCTCAACAACGCCACCCGGTAATCATCTACACACATTCTCCTAAGGTCATCCACACTCATCCCAAGGATTTCATGCAATTGGTGCAAAAGCTCACCGGCCTCTCTCGCTTAGAGGAGGACGGTGGCCATCCATCGCCACAACAACCACCGAAACAACAATATGGAGCTGGCATTGAGGCAATGGTAGGAGACAAAGAATGTGAGAGGAAAAATGTGGCTATTATAAGAAATGAAGATGAGACATCATCGGTGATAACCGAAGAAAATAATTGTAGTAGTAGCATGGGTGAAAACCAAGTTAACTCTTGTTTCATGGCGAGAGAGAATCCAATACTAGAGCATCCGTTGAACCCTTATATGACAAACTTGTCGGTATTGACGTCGGAATTCGCGTGTTCGAATCAGTCATTATTGAATTATTCGGATTCTTTGTTCTTCTCTCATAACATGAGGACTTCTATTCCATCATCCTTAGAAGGGGTGAAAGAGATTCGTGAACAATGATTATAGATGGAAGTTTTTCATGTTTGAATTTTTATTAGTGCCAATAAAAGTTCTAGTTTTCTAGGATAGATCTTCAATGTTTTGTTTTTGTAGAAAAAGATTGTATTTACAGGAAATTGTTCCATTTATTGTTTTAAACGTTTAATACTTAGTTTCATAGATTTGCAATTCAAAATAATAAAGAAAGACATACCTTTCTCTGTTACAGTTTTATTGGTCATTTTTCTTTTTGTTCGCACATACATGTATTTCAATCTGTGTCTATAAAAAAAGCACAATGTGAATCGATGCGTATGATGATCAATTATAAGAACGAATTGGTTGTATTTTTTTCTGGATTTTTTTTATTTGAATTCAAAGTATTAAATCATAACAATTAGGAGTTGAGATATTATCCAGAAAGTAACAAGTTTGAACATTGTTCATTGTATTTCCTACCAATAAAAAAAATCACAATTGACAACTCAGTTATAATGAATCAAGACGCGAGACAATGGCAGCAATAAAAATAGCTTGCCCCAAAGTCTGTTTTCAGAACATTTTTGTTAGTTTTGTTTATTTTGTAAAATATAAACAAACATCACTTTTTGGGAGAGTAGCTCAAATTAGAGGTGATAAAATTGTTACTCGAGCCCAAACCTAATCGTTAACATTTACTGTATTACTTAGACTTCAAATTTTTAACTCAAATTAAATGTCAACCTTTTTAACATGATCTAATCATGATAAAATGTAAGCTTAATTTTCATGATAAAATGTAAGCTTAATTTGCAAAAACCCGACGAAAGTTCAAGAAAAAAGAGACTTTGTAAAATTTCTTTATTGAATCCAGCCGATTTTTTACTATAACCCGCAACGTATTGCCGGATAGGTAACCTGTTTTGCTACCTCCAGCACAAATTATTTAATTTATGTTTATATTTAATCAAATTTTATAAATAGCCTGCGGGATACTAATACCAACACATAATGGAGATCCTTTTTCACTTCACCTATTGACCGAAAAAAAATAACACAATTGGGTATTATACAAGAGTTTTGGGAGGAAGGGAGTAATTTCATTTAATAATTAATTACTTTGCTTCCATTGTTGAGTTGTACACTTCAAATTCACATCTCTATGTACAAGAAAAAGAAAAAGAAAAGTATTCAACAAAAAAAGTATACACAACACATTACACCATGCATCGATCTATTTTTTCTTCTTTTCCTCTTTATCTCTTTCAAGTGTAACAGGAGCTGCTGGTATGCTAAACCACCATTCCTTTAATCTCCTCATCCATCTCTCAGTGCTAGCTTTTCTTGGAGGTGAATATCTTGTAAATGTCTCCAAGAAGAGTAGCAAAACTATGTATTTAATGGGCAAGAAAGCCAAAACCAAGGCTACTGATAGAAAACTGAAGGCCAACTTCTCTGTGGCCTGATGATCATATGAAGGGAAACCAAGTATTACAATGTGACACTCAAGCTTGCAATGAATATTGAACAAAATTCTCAACATAACATTTTAGAAGATCAAGGTTTCTTTCTGGACATATGAGCAAAAGGGAATGAGAGAGTACCTGAGGAAAAATGGACAGTAACAAGCCGCGGAACTTGAGCAGAATTACGTTACCATCCTGTATGAGCTGTTCAGCTTGAGAGACAGCATTCTGAACAGCCAAAAGCTGTTCCATTGTATTCATAGGTGGAGGGGCAATTACTTTAACTTCAGGAACGCCTCTACCTTGGCTAAAACATCGTGTAATTATCATAAAAACTGCAAGTAACATGAGCACCAGCGCTACCACGTAGCCAAGCCAACCCCTGCAATAATCAGACTATCTAAGTTTGAAAGAAGGGAAATCTATCATACAACAAGCACCGAAAGGAATGTTGAAGATGAGAACTAAATGGCCTTCCATTTTTATCATTTCTTGTACAGATATTTGAACATAGGAAACTCAAAGAAAGCAAAGTGACATTGTTCAAATTGTAAACGAAAACAAAGAAAAGGAAAATGTTCTCAAACCAAAGTTTCCAAACATGTTCTAAAGTCTTCAGTATGTGTTTTTTCTTGCATAAAATATTTGGAGTTTCCTAATGTACTTTAGTGTTAGGTAATCCCCATTAGTAGTTAGTTATGTTAGTTAGTCTGAAAAATACAAGGGGTTATGTTAATGGGCCTAAGAGAGTGGCTTTATGTTAGCAGACCAATAGCTGTAACTAAATCAGAAGAGGGGTTGTTGTTTGTGAGAATAGGGGCCTTGGGTATTGGGAGGTGCAGACCCCCGAAGTTCTGCAAGTTAAGCAATGTATTGAGGGGTGAAAGGTGAAATCCCTTATTCTTTCTCGTAAGATACCGGCTTTCTATCATTTACTAACTACAAAAAAAAAAAAAAAACTAAAATTTGCATCATACGAAAACATATACAAAAACACTAGACAATAAAGAGATAACAAAGTGCATGGACTAGAAAAATGGAGTACACCAAATCTGTGACTGGCACTGTGCTTGTAAAGAAAATTGTTGGTGGGAGGGAAGAGAGACACAGAGAGAGGGGGAATGATTTGCAATTCTATTTTCAAGGGGAATCATTTTGATTAACAGAAAATTCCTGTTAAATTGAAACTTAGATTGAAAATTGCTGAGATATGATTCATATCCATATGAATCACGTCAGAATATCTACAAAATATTTCATAATACCATCATTGTATCCGAATATTTTGGAGTATCTTATATGATCTCTTATCAAGAGTTTTCATATTTCATTAGGTGCATGATTAATTTCCTCATTTGGTTAGAACTAGCTAGGAACCTACGATTTGCATAATTAGAGGCTTGTGCTTTGTCTTTTATTATCACATCATATTGCATTACATCAGATCAATACCAATTTCAAATTATTCACTCTATTTCTCTTTCCTCCTTCTCTACCCAAAACCCCGATAATTTCAACAAACCACACAACCTAAAATTGCTGAATCTATGAATTCTTAGCAAGATACTAAATGATTATTCAATGTTGAAACTTGGTTGTTCTACCCAACTCTATTCCAAATGCTGCGATTCAAACCCAAAAAAAGATATGCTTATCCAATGTTTATTGAGTTTTTCCCAACACCTGTTATTACAATAGTATCCATAGCAAAGCATCCAGAATTATTCCCCTAAAAAATTACTTCTCTAATTTCTATAAGCATTTCATAAATGTCCACAACAATTGTCTTCCCTTTCTCCTGCCATTCAACAAAACACGGCCTCTAAAATGTCAACAGAATACTGCCTCTAAAAAAAACAGGTCAACAGAATACTGTTTGATCCAAAAAAGTTTTACCTGTAGATGATGTAACTGGAAAACAAACAAAACCCTGAAGACTTCCATGGATCATCCCAATAAGCCAAAGATTGAAGAGACTTCCCAAGTTCATGTAGAGGAAAAAGCAACTCCTGAAAGTAAATGACAGGTATCAGAGTCAAAATAGGATAATTCTTGGAACTTGGAGCTGGGTTTACTATTCTAAAATTGATTATTCTTCAATTTGGCTTCATTCCATTATTATTATTATGTCATTTAAGGAAAAGAAGAGAGAAGTTGTGCACTTCACAAACTGCACATAACATGATCTATTCAAGCTAGCATGTATATAGGTTTTTCTAGGAAGAGTATGGTCCACAATCCAATGTATCTTTAGTTCTTTACAAACTATTATCGAAATGCAATAGCCTTTTGGTTTATTTGACATCACCATTAAAAGTATTGAAAAAAGTATAATAGCTCGAGTATAAAAGGTTAAAGAGGACAATAAAATAGTACCTTCATAACAGCCAAATTAGTGTCAATACCATCAACTTTAACACCATCAACTGTTGCTTGTGCAGATATGACCTTTTTATGATTGTTCTTGGATTCTTTAACCGCTCCTTCCAATGCACTCATTTCTCCAACAGATA